ATGTATGAGTTAAGACCATTTTCATGGGAGTAGTTTATCATTTTTGGAATTGAGCTTATGTGGGTCATGCAAAGCCATCAAGTAAGCAACTTTATGGTTTTAGACGTTGAAGAGGACTTGGATATGAAATTGTAGCTTATGGAGTAGAGCATTAAGCACTTAATGGAAAAGTGGCTTAACAGAGGAGTACGCTGGGCATACATGCAGGTACGCGCAACGTACACCACCCTCAGCCAGTACGCTTAGCGTACAAGGGAGTACGCCCCACGTACACATCAGTTATGGGCTTGGAGTGTTTTTGGGCCTTGGGTTGGGCCAGGCAGTGGACTTTGGGCCTTTGGCCCTTAGTGGATCATCAGAAGTCAGATGTTTGGGCTTAAGGTAAGGCCCATTGGAGGGGTTGGGCCCAATTTGGCAAATTGGGCCATTAGTGGGCCACTAGTGGGCTTGGAAAGCCTACCTAGTGTTGGGCTTTTGTTTTGGGATTGGGCCTTAGTTTTGGATCGTACTGGTCCAGGGATAGAATGGTCATTTTACCCCATGCATGGATTAAGGATTTTGGTATGGGACCTAATTGCTAATTGGGTATATTGTTTGGTAGTGACAGCTCAGGAAGCTGGCGGGGCAGCAGCTAAGGAATTCATGCGGGAAGCTTCTGCAGTGCGAGGTGAGTCTTCTCACCATACCAATGGGTCTAAGGCACCAAGGCCGACCCATTTTATGTTATGTGGTACACTAGCTGTAGTAGAGATATGCGGTATGATAGTTAGGTTTATGCTTAATGGTATGCTAGTTAGTGGTATGCTAGTTGTCTTTGTGATACTTGCATGGAAGACCATGTGGGGTAGCCCATGGCACAATGGTATAAGACCCTGGGGGGGGAGCCCACAGCAGCCTTACAGGTTTATGTACGTGTTATGTGTAGATACTTTTGTGATACATGATATGCTATTTGATTATATATGATATTGGCAAGGAAAGACTATGGGGGGAGCCCATGGCACTTGGATGTAAGACCATGTGGGGGAGCCCATGACTGTTCGACAGGGAAAGACCATGGGGGGAGCCCATTGCACTTAGGTGTAAGATCATGTGGGGGGAGCCTATGGCGTCCTTATGCAGGGATATGTGGTAGAGATAGCTTTTATAGCTAATGTTATATGGTAGAGATAACTTTATGGCTGATATGTTATGTGATATGTGGTAGAGATAACTTTTATAGCTAATGTTATATGGTAGAGATAGCTTTATGGCTAATGTGGTATGCGGTAGAGATAACTTCTATAGCTAATATGATATGTGTTATGTGGATTGTGTGTGGGGTATGCTCTGGGGGACTCACTAAGCTTTGTGCTTACGGTTTACAATTTTGGTTTCAGGTATCATCGGTTTGGAAAAGGAGAGCTCGGATTGATCGCAATGCACACACCTATGATTTCCGCAATGAATGATTTTGGGATGAACTCTGATAAATGATTTAGTTATCGATGATTTGAAATGTTTAAAGTAAATGGTATCAATGTTTTAGCTATATTAAAAATGAAATTTTTACCCTTGATTTTTGGGTCGTTACAAGTTGGTATCAGAGCCTTGGTTTGAGGGATCCGGACATATTTTCGGGTGTGTCTGAACTCAAACTGAGGATCTGTTAAGTTTTCAAAAGGAAAACTGTTTTAAGTAAAGAATTTTTAAGACAAGAAAGGGTGTGGTGCATGCAATCAGCCGAACTCGAGTAAGTTTCCCCAGAATACCCACATTTGTTATCTGATATGATTTGATTATGAATATATAAATCGCATGCTAGTTAGGGCTAGGGGAGATGCCTGTATATGTTGTATGAGCTGGTAGACTTGCATGCTAGTGATGAGTAGTCAACAATAGGTTGACCTGATATGTGGTGCTTGTAGCCATGAGTATATTTGGATGTCATGCTAAAATAAAAATGATAATTTGGTATTTGTAACTGCAATGTGTATGTTTTGAAAATTGTATACGGTTAGGATCTTATAGCCTTAGAATAGCTGATTTGACCTTATTTCCTGTGGTCTTAGGGTAGAGTCTATTATTCGACAGTCTATTAGATCCCGTTCTGTGTATAATTTGCATGCATAAGGCAGCTGGCAGTGAGGGTGGATGTGGACAACATGGGCCGTGGTTTGTGGGCTGAACGTTCTATGATAGTTCAACCAAGTACTCCTCCAGAAATGTGACACGTGGTACACATGCAGTGGAGCCACGTCGCGCTGTCGGGCAAAATTTCTTGATTTTCAAAAAAATCATATATCTCTCATACGATCTTCATTTTTAAAGTTTTTTATATCCACGCATAAGTACTTCCGAGTACTACAACTTTTATTTAGACTCCATCGGTTAATTTTTACTCCATTTTAAATTTAACAGTCTATGGGGATTACATTGCAAAAGACCGTGCAAAAATCATAACTCTTTCATACGAACTCCGTTCTCGATTGTCTTTATATACAGAAATTCCTATTCACGAGATCTATAACCCCCGTTTAGATTGTTTTACTTAACAATAAATCTATTTTTAATTTGTTTTCTGTGTTCATCCTGCTACGCGAAACTTTGAAAAATCATAACTTTCTCATACGAAGTCAAATTTAGGTGTTCTCTGTATGAACGCTTTTGCTTTTACAATTAATAATATTTTCGTTTATATTACTTAGGCTAATAGGCAACCTATCTCTAATTCACTTTTTTTTTACGACAAGGCTGCACGCGAAATTTCAAAGGATCATAACTTCTTCATATAAAATTAGATTTAAGCGTTCTTTATATCGTCGAGATGGTCATTACGACTACTACATCTTTAGTTAAGATTATTTATTCTTTATAACCATCTAATTTAAAATGTTGTTTATTGTCCGTAACACATATGACGAATAATTATCATATTCGAGAATTTTAATTATAAATATTATCACTTATTATATTTTAATGTTTAGCCTGAATTTGCAGGCGTTGCAGTAATGCTATAAAGAATAAATAGAAGATGACTAATAACATTTCTATATGTAAGGATATCATGAGGCTTTAATGTTGACTGGTTAGTCGACATCGAGGTGAATACATAATATCTTAATATGCATGTCTCTTATGATGTTGAACTTTCATTTAACATGTTTCTAATATACATACATTACATGTTTACATTTTAATGGGTCATCTTTTGAATGTTTTACCAATTTCAAAAGTCACTTTATGTTTCATAAAACATGAGAATGTAACATCCATTTACACAGGGCATAGGCAGTCGAATAGTATCGTCTAAACACTTAGAGAACATTAGAAATCCAAAGAAAAAGAAAAGATCACAATGACATTCTAGAACACTCACAATGCTTAGGTCTTACTCGCCCTTATATGACATACTTGGTTGTGGTTTAAGTGTTCCATAGTTTTGAGCTCGACATGTCGAGTTTAGGTTTATCATAAGGCCATAAGGAATGGTCTCAACAAGGGGGTCGACAAAGCCGATGTGGCTCGGCAAACCCGAGCCATGTGCTCGACATGCCGAGTTTAGGCCACCAACTTGGCTAAGGTGCTGTTTGTTTTTTTGAAACAAAAATTTATGAAGTCTGCGGACCACCTCTGCAACCCTCTGCAGTAGAAGAGGTGGACCAAACGGCTGCAGACTGTAATAAAAAGTGTGTTTGTTTTTTTTAACATCTGCATGCTGGTGCAGATATTAAAAAATTAAAATAAACTGGTTTTATAAACAAAAAATAGTTTCTTAATACCGAAAATTTAATAATGTATGACATTTCAGCAAAAATTTATGATATTTCAGCAAAAAATAATAATATTTCAACAAAAATAAAGATATTTTAGCAAAAAATAATGATATTTTATCAAGATATTATCATTATTCAATATAAAAAAAACGAAAAAAAATTCAACAAATATAAACAAAAAAAACAAAAAAAAAGTAAAATAAGATTTCAATAACATATAATCAAGATTTCAGCAACAAAAAAGAAGAATAAGAGGTTGGAAGAGGCAATACAAGTGCTGCGCCAAACATAACACGCGCATAAGTTTTTAACTCTGAAGACTTCTAAAAAACAAACAATTGCGAGATTAAAAGTGCTGCGCGTGTGCTGCGCCGCGCAACAGTAAGAAGTCTGAAGAGGTTTTTTTCGCAAAAAACAAATAACACCTAAAACTTGTCATATCTCTCTCTCTCTCTCTCTCTCTCTCTCTCTCTCTCTATTTGCCATAATATATGTCATGGAAAAATATATCTCTATCTTAGGTGGAGCTCGACACCACCGTCACCACTCCCTCCAGTCTAAAACTATGTCTTATACGTTTCGTTCACATTCATTGATTTTTCAATTTTATTACAAGACTATGTGTTATACATTTTATTAACCTGTGTCATATGCTTCTTTCACCTTTCACAATTGTTTTATTATTTAATACAAATCATAATAATTGGAATTGTAATAAAGGGATAATTCTATAAAAACCACCATTATAGTTTGATTTTTTTTTTCGGTTGAAACATCATTTTTTTTTTCAATTTAACCACTAAGAGTCTGTTTTATTATTCATGAAAACCACTATATACGTATTGGACTATCTACAAACCACTATAGTTTGGAATTTGTTCGGTTTAGCCACTCAAAGAATTTCTTTTATGATTTAACAACTTAAAAAAATTTAAAAAAAAATCATCTTCAACCAAAAAAAATATTGTTCTGAGTGGTGTTTGCTATTTAATACCAAAAAAAAAAAAAACTTACAATGGTTATTGTGGAAAAAAATAAACTTTCAATGATTAAATCAAAATTAAAACAAATTTTCAATAGTTATTTTAATGGTTAAATAAAAAAAAATCAAACTATAGTGATTTTAGTGCTTAAATCGAAAAAAAAAATCAAACTATAGTAATTTTAGTAGTGTTTTTATGAACTTTCTCTGTAAAAACATTTTAGTTTTATTAAATTGAACAAACATAAAAATAAAAATAAAAATTCCATTATACGTGTCAGAAACGGTTTCCCCTTTTTCGCAATGTTTTCTTGCTGCTCGCCGGAGTCCAGAATTCCCTGCCACTGTCAGTGTTTTCACGACTTCGTTCAATCGCCGACTCATTTCTAATTTCCCATCCAAATTCGAGAACGACCTATGTGCTCGAAACCCTAATTTCTATATAATCAAACCATTGGGTTCAGCTCAATTAGCAGAACAAGACCCCATCAAGACGACTGCATTAATGGAGCATCACTCATATCACAACCCCTTCGAACGGCGGAATTTCATCAAGTCTAAAACTCCCACTGTTAAGTGGTTCAAAGAATGGTAAGTAATAAAAAAGCCTCTTCTTCTGTCCTTTAATTATCTTATGTAGTGTATGATTATGTGAATGTGATTGATTCGCAAGACCTAATTGATCAGTTTTGGTGGAAATCGAAAGGGGTAAAACTGAGACAGCTTCAGTCGTGTCGATACGAGAGATATACTTGATCCTTTATATGGGTTTGAAGTAATTACATCATTGCCCCATTTTTATTTCTTGGTAAAGATGAATTTGTGCTTACAACTACCAAGATCGGTAGAACCAAGTTATGATTCAGCTTCGAGCTTGCCATTATGAATAATGCGGATATTTTGTGATTAATTTTTGTGGTTGATGGCCATCAAGTTTTCTAGGGTGTTAGGGTTTATCCATTGCACTCCACCTGTTTGTTTAAATGCCGTAGTCATCTCCCAACAACAACGAGCAGTTACCCTTTACATCTCCTGATGCCTTTTTTTTTTTCACTAAAACAACAACTACCCTTTTTCATCATCTAAAGACCTACTCCTACTTCTACTTTCAGTATTTCACTAATTCACTTACCTGATTATTTATCGTAATCAGTTTGACACTAAAGACTATTAAAGGGTAGAGAAAAATTACCCATAAACACTCAAAACACCATCAAAAAATGATTATGACAACTTCAAGATTCATAACACTGGTACTAATCTGATCATTATTTATCTAGGGTACCACAAGATGTCGTGTCAACAGGTGGCAAATGCTTTGTTATGAAATGGGTCACAGGTTAGTAGTTACATCTTTATGTTAAATCTTTCATTCTAACATCATTAAATCTATTTAATATCAGAATTCTCATCTTTGTACAACCAGAGTCTCAATTAAACGCCATGAATGAAGAAAAGTCAAAAGAGATGGAGGCTGTAGAACCTGAACCTGAACCAACAACTGAAGTTCTTTTTCTTTGCAGTTATGAAGGCTGTGGAAAAACTTTCATTGATGCTGGAGCTTTAAGGAAGCATTCCCACATTCATGGAGAGAGACAATATATTTGCCATTATGAAAACTGTGGAAAGGTAAATCTTTTACTATTATCTTCATGGATTTATTAATTTATTAATTTTATTTATGTTAATGTTGCAGAAATTTTTGGACAGCTCAAAGTTAAAGAGACATTATCTAATTCATACAGGGGAAAGAAATTTTGTTTGTCCTCATGAAGGTTGTGGTAAGGTAATGACACTATCAAACATTTTTTTGCTAAAATGAACAATTAAACATTATTAATTAACTCCTATAATATTTATGTGTATAAATACAGGCATTCTCGTTGGATTTTAACCTGAGGTCACATATGAAAACTCATTCACAAGAGAATTATCATATTTGTCCATACTCTGAATGTGGAAAGAGATATGCTCATGAATACAAGCTAAAGAATCACATTATGTCTCACCATGAAAAGGTTAGTGCTTCAAGTTTAAATAGTGATCAAGTTTTCTTGAAAGATTATTCAAATTTCAAACCCTAATCTTGATCTCTTAAATAATTTCAGCAAAACAACAATCACATGATGATTGAAGCTCCATTGAAGTACGTTCATATACAACAACCCGTAGAAAAACCACCTCCAAAACCCACAAAATCTTACACATCTGCATCATCTGATCGTCCGTATGCATGTCCATATGAAGGATGTGAGAAAGCATACATCCATGAATACAAACTAAATCTTCATTTAAGAAGAGAACACCCGGGTCATTTCCAAGAAGAAAATCCAAAAAACACGGATCATGATCATGAAATGGATGCGGGTAGTGACCAAGATGGGCATAATACGGGTAAACGGGTTAACCCAAAATCCCATAAACAAAACCGACCCAAACCGGTCGTAAAGCACCCACCGGCTAAAGTGGTGCACCACAAGGCTCCAATGGCTGGAAATGTAATGAAGAAGCAACCATGGCCGATTGTTAAGGGTGTTTATGAGGAAGAAGATAGTGAAGAAACTGAAGAAGATCGTGATAATGGTGAGGATCGATGGGGTTATGGTGATCGTAATGGTGAAGATGATGATGAAGAGACGGAGTATGAAGACTAAGCATGTTTAGTTTCAAGATTTTGTATTAGAGAAAAAGGTTTTAATCTTTGATGTATTTTCTTGCTAATTGTGTTTTCAGAATCTTTGATTTTAATGCTACTAGTAGTTTTAGTTGATATAAATTGACCTTTTAGGGCTATTTGCAGTTATGAGGATGGTGAAAGCATTTACGTCTTTTTATAGATGAATGATGAAGAACATGTGCTTGTTCTATCTTTTGGATGTAACAAATATTGCAATTTTGACTCATTTGTATCGGTTTCAGTCTTATACAAATGCACGCTAATTGCATTATAAAATGATCATTTTTAGTTGTGCCATTTCTTGCATAACGAAAGGGTGCTAATAAACAACTGATTTTTCTAGGGCTATTCTCGATGATGATAATATTTACGTCTTTTACATAGTAAGTATGTATTCCACCTTTTTGGGTAAAACAAAATTTTGTATCTTATTTCAATAATATCAGTCATGGTCTTAGTTTAATGCATGTCCAATGCAATGTAAAATTGTCCTCTTTTGCATTATAAGCAACTAATTATTCTAATGGATTTTGAGGTGTTTGTTTGGTTATGCTTTTGACCGGTTTTTTGTGACTCTTTAGATTTGAACAAAAAAAAAAACCTATGGAATGACCGGTTTGGGTTAGGGTAAATCTGAAATCTGGCCGGTTTATTTTTTCTATTTGTTTGAAGAGGGACCCATTGGTGATAACACATATACGAAAGGTTCAGTTTTATGGACCCAATTGCATTGTGTTGTGTAGCCGATTTGTCAAGACTCAAGACTAGGAACAAATCATCTCAGAAATTCATGTGGTATTATTGCACATGGCCAAACCCAACACTCAACCAATCCTTTGAATTTTCTCCATTGTTTGCTATCCATTGCCACTAAGGCAATGGTACTATTTTTCTCTTCCAATAAATTTGCATTTTTTCTCTTCTACTTGTCTCATTTTCTATATAACATATAAAATATGTAAAAATATGTTTGTCCTATTTATTTACTTCATTATTTTTTGTGTGTAATCATGGTATTTAATGATGTACGTTAGTTCACGTGGTTCATGTAAAACGTATTTGTTAGAGTTTAAGCACTTTAACAATTTGATAAACGATTTCTTCAACAGAGTAATAAATACAAAACGACAAACAAGACACGATTACTTTGTGTGGTTCACACGATCAAGATGATTGACTATGTCCACAACGAACACGAGAAAGATTTGATTGCTTCTGCTGAATGACTATCTAATACAATACATTAGGTTACACAAATTTAGGGAATATAAATGCTAGTTGTTTGACCTAAAACTACCAATTAGGTCAAGCTGAGAAAGCGCTGATAAAATTGGCCCATGACGTGTTTTGATGTTGTCTTTTTATAGGAACTAGCCCATGAAAGCTTGGTTTGCCTAGCGACTATAAGGTCAAATTGTCAAATGTGAATTAGTCTCCACAATTTGATATTATTTTTGCTTGAAACATATATTAACTAATAAATTATTAACTTAATAATAATAATAATAATAAAAGAAATCAAGTACATTGTTGACAACGTAGTTTAGAAAAGGTCTTAAAGTCATTTAAACAAATGATAAGAGGTTGAATTGGATTTTAAAAAGTTTATGAAAAGAAAGTTTAATCCCGTTATTAGTTGGATTCTTTTCACTTCACGTGTTCACGTGAACTTCGTTGGACATACGGTTGTGATTTTGTTCTCTGTTTCCCATATTATAGACAATGAATTCTGATAACAAAAATACTAACTCGACTTAAACCAATAAAATTTGAGATTTAGTTATGAGAAATTGAGAAATCCAACCAAGTATCTAAGGCATCTTGAATAAAAAATAACTATCTTTAAATATATATTTTTAAAATAACCATTTATTATGGAATGTGCCATTCCCGACTGGAATTATCCGGCCCGACCCATTCCGGAATGGGCCGGGCCGGATAATTCCAGTCGGGAATGGCACATTCCATAATAAATGGTTATTTTAAAAATATATATTTAAAGATAGTTATTTTTTATTCAAGATGCCTTAGATACTTGGTTGGATTTCTCAATTTCTCATAACTAAATCTCAAATTTTATTGGTTTAAGTCGAGTTAGTATTTTTGTTATCAGATGTCATTGTCTATAATATGGGAAACAGAGAACAAAATCACAACCGTATGTCCAACGAAGTTCACGTGAACACGTGAAGTGAAAAGAATCCAACTAATAACGGGATTAAACTTTCTTTTCATAAACTTTTTGAAATAGGTGACATCTGTTTTCGATGAGTTGATGGTTTTATGGGTAAGTTCTTCACTCATTTACTTGTACTTACTGAATTTTGTAATTATAATTGCAAATCTAAAGTCCAGAACACATAGATATAGCCCGGAACATGAAAAATGCTTACAAAATGTTGTATTAACCGATAACATGAGTCATAAATAGGTAGTTATTTGATATTAGTAAAAACCCCAAATATTAGAAAAGTAGTTAGGTCTACAATAGCATGTGCCTTAGACAATTCCGAAATGGATTTCGTATTCTAGAACATGAAGAACATGTCTGGAATACGACAAATAAGTTCAAAATGTATAGAACAGTCCGTTCTGGAGCACCATAACCAGCCCATTATTATCTTCAGTGTCGTATGGAAAGTATTTTTTTTGTTTTTTAAAACATGACTGTATTTTTGACGCGTCCCTTACAATCTCTTGCAAACATGCCACTATTGTGGATATTCTTACTAAAATCACGAATCGACCGCCATGTGAGGCTTTGTTCCGACATACGTGTTTTGGTAGATGATTAGATATTCCCGTCGGGGTAGAAGGAGATCATATTTTCAGATTTCTATACTGAAAATCAACTGATCTCAAATGAGAAACCCTAGAGAAATAACACTCCTTTTCATTCTCTAAACCTCGAACAATTACTTCGAACGCACCGCGCCCTTGAGTTGCGCATCGTGCTCGATGAGAAACCTAAATCGTTTTCGGGTTTGCAGGTGGTTTGTTCCAGAGGTGTCTTGGATGGTCTACTGCGTCTTGAGTGCGATCACATCAGAGGAATCCTACGTCGGGTTCTCATTCATTCGATCAACTAGCGATGAGAAAGCTAATGTGGGACTAGCCCACTTGTTAGAGAGTTTGCCTCTTAGATTGGAGATCCTAAGTTCTAATCCGGGCGTTGGCGATTTCTACTAACCTGATGATAATAATTTCTAACTATTAACCAGCCATTAAAAAAAACTAGCGAGAAGAAAGAAATTGAAGGCTACAAGTGTATGTGTTTCTGTTTTTCATTCTCTTTAGTTGTATTGACTGGTTTGAACTTGGATCCGTCTATTGAGTTATGTGTTAAGTTTTGATTTATATGCTTCCGTTGTGTTTACACATTTGTGGCCAAAGAACCTCATAACCCAATACGCCTAACATCACCGCTACCCATGCTTCTATCTCATCACTACTCAAACACTAGGACCACCACCACTAGCATCAACCGCCACCAATGTGGCTTTCTATCGTCTCCATCTTATATATATATATATATATATATATATATATATATATATATATATATATATATATATATATGGTGAAATTCCACATTTCAAAACTAATGTGTTTGTTTATTTTTAAATTAGATATGGTATGTGTTGTGTATTTCATGATGGCCAGCGGTAGTTCCACCAATGCATTAGATCTGTTCCACCACCGTTTTCTCTTTCTCTCATCCTTGTTCTACTTCTTCATGATCTAGTTTTCAGTGATGGTTATGAAAACTTTTGTTTGGGACTGGTCTCACGACATGAGACATAGAGTCTCACGAGGTGAGAACTGATGCAGCCTAAGCCCATGATTTTGTTAGGGTTTCTTTCGTATTTAATAACCTCTAAATCCATTTTAGGGTTCATTTAAGTAAAGAAGTTTTGGAAACAACATGCATATAAGGTGTTTGATGAAATGCTTCAATAAGTTATTAAACGGTGAATGTGTGTATTAAACTCGCCCGTCATCATCGACGACGACCCGACTCCCGTCTCCTCCATCCCCTCGTCGTTGTCTCATATCATTGTCAGAAACGAACACCAACGTCAATATATAACTCATTGTGAATGTTTATATTAAGTTGATTAAACTGTGAATATGTGTATAAATGAATATATTAGATTGTAAAAATAATGATTTTGCACTTTCTAACCGAAACATACAAAAAAATAACACACTATATTTTAACCCATTTAATCGGTACTCATACTTTAATAACCATAAAATGGGTAGTACCTAGAGTTTCTAAACTTTATATATATATATATATATATATATATATAGATAAGATATATATATATATATATATATATAGATAGATATATATCATACATACTTATAAAGCTAGCATTTTTTCTTGAATCTCATGCATTTGAAACACCTTTTTTAACTTCCTCAAACCACATTCATTTGAAACCCCATTTTTTAACTAATGCAACTCAAAAGTTTTCTTAATTATGATTTAACACTCAAAAGTTTTATAACTTATATTATTCATACATACTTATAAAGCAGACATTTTTTCTTGAATCTCATGCATTTGAAACCCCTTTTTTAACTTCCTCAAACCACATTCATTTGAAACCCCCTTTTTTAACTAATGAAACTTAAAAGTTTTCTTAATTATGATTTAACACTCAAAAGTTTTATAACTTATATTATGTTTAATTAGCATTTAGTGAAAAGTTTACTATAAAAAGGCCAATCTTTTGTGTCTTTTGTGTTATATAAAATCTTACATGTAAGAAGGATTTGAAGATATTGTAATTCAAAAGTTTTCATATAGTTGAAGCATTCATGATCCAAATATGATGATTTGAAGAAATGGGTTATGTCGCATCGATGATAATTGTAATATGATTTTTTCTTTCAACCAAAACAAATGAAGCTTTTCTATTCTTTCTTTATGTTCAGTTTCTCATTTAATCTTTATATGTGATTTGTGTGTATTACTCAATCTTGAATGTGACT